TGGTTTTCCACTTATCGTGTTATCGGTGCTGCCTATATGCAGAAAAAAGTGAAAAAACAGCATAAATTCCCTATAAGTGACCCCATCATGCTGATTTTCGAACTTGACCTGCGTATTATGAATATTTATCAGTACTGAAAGTTTCAAGCCAAAAGGTAAAATGGTTTTCCACTTATCGTGTTATCGGTGCTGCCTATATGCAGAAAAAAGTGAAAAAACAGCATAAATTCCCTATAAGTGACCCGATCATGCTGATTTTTGAACTTGACCTGCGTATTATGAATATTTATCAGTTCTGTAAGTTTCAAACCAAAAGAAAAAACAGTTTTCCACTTATCGTGTTATCGTTAAAAGTGCACGGCGACGGCGACGACAGACGCAGATGATGGCTATATGTACAGACACATCTGTGTCTGTACATAAAAAAATTATTACAATCTATGTGTTTATGTGCCCAACACAAAACATTCCCTTGTAGGTTTATTATCTGAATCATAAAGGGCATGACTTATCTAAATACTGTAATTTTCTCATAAAACAAATATATTTATTTATAACAATTTTACCTATATCCCTGGCCAAACAAACCAGCTCCTTATAGCACTCAGTGGTCAGTGCAGACTGCTGGTCATCAACCTCAACGTCAGTGTTGACTTTAGTTTTTCCTTGCTGGATTTCTAGTTCAACCTGAAGTATACAATAACCTTAGCATTACATGTTCTAATATGGTAAAATAAAAAGGAAGTACACTATAAAGTCATTAGTTACAAAAAATTATATCACTTAATATGCTGATATTATGCACATAAAATTAATTTGGTCAATTATTTCCCAATATTGTCATACAAATCTTAATCATGTTAAAAATCATATGCAAATATATGTATATAAAAGACCAGGATAAAATTCCAGCTTGAATTCCTGCATCACTCTGACATATTCCTAATTTTTGGTAAATCAAAATTCTTCAACATTTGACAATAAATCTCCAGCAATGTAATGCTTTTTGGAAAACAAATCTGAGATTGCACTGAAAATAATCCTGGAGTTACTTGGCAATCAGTCAAGAATTAAAGAGAAAAATAATGCATGTGATTACAATAAGAACTTTTTAAAAACTTTATTTAAAGAGGGTAAACATGTTTAGCGAAAGCTTATCTTCCAAATGGCCCTCTGTTACCAGTTATTCAACAGAACTCTGATGGCACAACGCCGTACCTTTATTTTCCCCATGATGAGCTCACTGGCTCTAGCTCCCAGCTTCAGATAGGCCACAGTATGGTCCATGTTGGTTATCATGAGATCCTCTTTCAATATGCCCTCGATCACCAGCTTTCTGAACAGCCTCTCTGCATCCAGGCGGGAGTACTTGGAACCACGGCCATGTAACTTCAACCTGTGGTGACCTTCTTTTTCCACTTTGGCATTCTTTGACCCTAAAAGCAGAGATTGCCAATATGCTAAACTGTTTACTCATAGATTTATCTCTTTCTTGCAAATATGGAATGGAGATTGGCAGTTTATGTAAGTAGTGAACATTAAACTTTTTAAAACATTTCTGTTATATAATGAATATAGACTTATATTAAGGAATCTGACACAAAACTCAACATTGATTGATGTCCTCATCACCAAATATAATATTTAGGGATGACAGAAAAAGGCTCATATTATTAATCATATGACAATAATGTCAAATGACAGTGATGCTGCATATGCCATCTTGGGAGACACTGACATTTGGGTATTAAATTATGCGCTTTCTGTTATAAGTCATTTTGCAGACCTCAAAAAGGCATATCAACTGACCTCAGCCAAAATCGATAATTGTATAATATCATGATAAAGGGGCTGTATAATTCATTCCCTGTTGTTAAAAGTTGGGTCCTCAGTTTGCTGACTTTTGTGATGTATTAATAAATATAAATTTGTAAGCAATGCATAGGTACAAATACACTTTCCATCCAGTAAGTCTTGATTTTAAATGACTGGATCTCTGCCAGTTGACATTTTTCCACACACACCTCTAAAAATCTCGATGAAGTGAAGCAGAGTAAAGTTGTTGAATCTTCCACCTTTCCCAGTAACTTCTTTCACACCCTGAACTATAGCCTTGGCATCTTCTGTGACATCTTCCTTCACAAACAGCTCCTAAGGTGACACATCACAGTGGAATTTCAAGAATAAAAAATTTATTGGCTGCCACACAATGCTAGTTTAATACTGTGTTTAGGGTTAAAACATAATGAGAGGGGTCTTGGAAATAAAAACTAAGTAAAATTTTCAAATAACATTTTCTTAATAAAAACTGCATGAAGAGCAAAGAAAGAGCAAACATTATCAAAAAAATCTCTAAAAAGTGAAAGTAGATATTTCATTTCTGATTCAGGCAATTTTGTCACCAAAATTCATAAAATGACACAAATTTTCTTACCCTGGATGCACAGTTGTCACACATAGCCCCTGGCATGGCAGTGCACTGACTTCTGTCAAAGTTCTCCCCAAAGTAATTGAGCTGGAGCGTCCTTCTACACTCTGCAACATTCTCACAGTAGTGGACCATCTTGTATAGGTTATCTAGGTGAACTTTCTTGGTTTCATAACCTCCCTCGCTATTCACTAGAAGAAAAGAGACAGGTGTTACTTAAACGTAAGGCCCATGTACAAGTAAACTTCTCTTGTTATTTTAAACTTGAATTCCTTAAGCTCTATTGAAAATACCACACAATTACTATCAATTGTGCTAATTTTGATCCCTGCAACTTTGTCCACTTAAATATTTTTTGCTATTAAGTGGGGATTGTACAGAGAATGCTTAATTATAACCCTGTCATTTCTGATACATTCAATGCAATAAAATGGTTTTGAGACAATTAAATTGCCTGTTACACCTTCAACCATTGATACTGTTTGATACATGTATCTCATAGGTCACTTTAAAACATACAATTGACTTTTATCTATGATCTAAAGACCTGCTACAGGTAAATAAATGCACTGGCTATTCACCCTACTTACTCTCAATCATTCTCCTCATTCTGTTGACATCTTGGTAGGAATAGAACAGGATACAGGTGGACAGTTTGCCATCTCTTCCTGCTCTGCCAGACTCCTGGTAGTAACCTTCCACTGACTTGGGTAGAGAGTAGTGGAACACAAACCTCACATCTGGCTTGTCAATACCCATACCAAAGGCAATAGTGGCACAGACAACCTGTGGATGTCAAGAAAATAACTATATCAGGACTGAAAATTTGAATTCTGAAGTCTTAAACTTTAAACTAAAAAAAAAGTCTGTTCATTTCTCTTAAACACTGGAAATTTTGTTTACTTTCTATGTACATAACATCCATGAGACATACAGTAATATTATTTTCCTCATTCATTTGTATGCTGACACAAAAGATGAAATTGGTCAATCATTTCACTACCTTGTTGTACAACTCATAATCATATTAAAAATCTTATGCAAATAGATATCTAAAAGACAATGATAACAAAAAATCTTGAATTCTGGCATCAATCTTACACATTCCTAATTTTTGGTAAATCAAAGTCTTCAACATTTGGCAATAAATCTCCAGCAAGAGCAAAAACCAATGAAAGTGTCATCTGTGGAGCTGAAGGCCACAGTACCTTATAGCTGTCTGTGATCCAGTTCTCCTGGACTAGTGTCCTCTCTGAGTCTGTCAGACCAGCATGATAGGGTTGAGATGTGATACCTGCCTTCTGGAGCTCACTTGATACTGTCTCACACTCCTTCCTACAGGATAGAATAACAAATGGAATATTAGTAAGTGGTATATTTATATGGTTATCAAGATTTTCAGAAATGTCAGAAATTTGTTTAAAAACAATAAGAAAATTATGAATCTTCGAAACTTTTCTTTAATCCATTATAATCACATTCTCAATCATTATATTTAAAAAATCCAACATCTTCTCATGGTCAACATCATATTATGAAAAGTATCAGATTAAAAAATGTATATTAAAGTAAAAGCTTAAGAAAATAGTAAAATGATTTTACAATTTAATAACTCACAGTTACACTGACACAAAGTGAATTTGAAAAAAAAAACTTGATAACTATTACTAACCGCGATAAACAATAGATAATGCCAGATTGCTTTGAAAATTTTGTCTTGATTAGGTTGATCATTTCATTCATCAATGACTTCCCTTTCTTAGGCTGTACAGAGTATTTGAGGTTTGTCCTGTTAAAACTTTGGGTGAACCTGAGGAACAAATTTCAGAAGATAAATATATGTATAAATGGACAATAAACAAACAAAATGACATTTTTTCTACATGTAAGAATGCGGTCAACTGACGATATTAATCTTGCATATTTCACAAAACATTCCAGTCTCTAGATAACATCAAAACACTACTGAAATATGAACTGAATTTGTTTCAAATCTCATCAGTTACACTTCAACATTTAAAATTCCAAATGTGACTCATGTTTTCATAAATTAGAAGTAAAATAAATATTCCTTCTGGTCTACAACTTTCCAGAAAAAAAGGGAAAAAGGTAAGAGCCCAACATATCTCATACCATTTAGGTGCCTTCATATTCAGCTGGTAGAGAATATCTTTCCTGACCCTAGGGGTGGCTGTAGCAGTTAATGCCAGCATGGGGACACCTGGGTATTTCTGCCTCAGCAGCTTCAGCTTCTTGTAGTCTGGCCTGAAGTCATGACCCCACTGAAGGGAAGAGGACGAATTATAAAGGATATGAAAGATCATTATACCTGCTGTATCCTCAATATGCACTTTGAACATAGAGGATGAAGCAGAGAGTAAAGACTTAGCCAGGGTATTGTTGGCATGTGGATGATAATTCTGAGCACCATATGTAAGGCCGTTTCAGTTGTAGGCTCTCCAGGATGAAACAAATCCAAAAGAATGCCAAACAAATGCCAGGAATACCGGCTGACCTCCTTTACTGGCTTTATCAGGTTTTTTCTTACATTTACCATTAAAAGATGGTAGATGCACTCGTCACACATACTTTTCTTTCAATTCAACAAAGTATCCCGAAGAGAATCAGACCTCAAAACAATTTAGAAAAATAACTGAAACTGAATATTTTTCAAAAGGAACATGACATGTTTCTATGTATATAACAATTTTTATTTTAAACGAAGATGCATTTTACTGAGACAACATACCTGACTGACACAGTGAGCCTCATCAATGACAAAGCGACTCAGCATTTTCCTCCTGTATAAGTTTTCAAATACAGACAGCAGCTTCTCACTCTGACTTATCTAGAATATGCATATGAATCATGAAGACTGACATTTGCCATCTAGAAACTCTAACACTCGCCAATTTAACCAAATGCTAAAAGTGACTTAACTTGGCTAAACAAAAAGGGCTTGATTTGACTCATTTTAATCAAATTAAAACCATTTGGATAACAAATTGACAAAAAAAAAAAAAGTGATTTGGCTAAGCGAAAAAATTTGCTAGCGCTACCCCAGAAACTGTAAGACATCGACAAGTTATAATACACCTGGACTTAATGGTTGTCTTTATAGACTTCTTGTGACCTCAAATACCACTTCAAGTAATGTGACTGACCAACATATATCTATAAAAACTCATTTTTACTACAAGCCATCCATGTTATAATAATTCTGATTCATTAACAAATTTTGAGGCAAGGAAAAAAGTGCATATTAATACCTTTTCAGGAGTAACATAGAGGAGTTTCAGGCCGGGGTCTCTGAGGTACAGCTGGTGATATATGTTCTCAGACTGGGCTAGAGTTACATCACTAGATAGGTGGGCTGCTGGCACCTAAAACCAGAAGACAGCAAAAATTAACAGATGGAAAATGCTGCTAACTATTTACCTGTGAATATATTTTAGAGAAATACTTAAAAAAGTTAACTGATAAAACCAATAATTTAAATAAAATATCTGACAGAAATTAAAAAATAAGATTTTAGGAAAATAAAGGCTCTGGAGGTCAAGATTCATGTGCATAAATTAAACCTTTGATACTTTTAAATGTTGGTGACCAATAAAACTGTAGATACTCTGTTAATACGAGATAAAAAAAAAAAATTACAATGACATGGGGGCAAAAAATACCTAGAAAGTCACACTAGATGTTAAGTTTCATGCATGCATTTAGTCCTTTATGCTCAAAAACTCACATCTAATGAGCACAACTTCTGTACTTGGTCCTGAATGAGTGACCTGAGAGGTGAGATGACTACAGTGACACCTGGTGTCAGTAAGGCAGGAAGCTGGTAGCATAAACTCTTTCCTCCACCTAAATATTATCAAGAAGGCAATGCTTTAAAAAACTCGATGTTCAATATTCTCACAATATTTTACATATTACCTCGTTTTCAATGCTTAATTTTGAAATATGCTTCACACACAAAAAATGGAACTTTTTTTGTAAAATAAGACTAAGGTGTGTGATATCATACTCTGGTGTGATATTATTTTGGGATTCTAATATTCTACTTTACTAAATATTGATCAAAATATGCACTGCAGCAGGGTATTTATACCTGTTGGCATGAGAATGAAACAGTCTTTTCCTAACAAGGTTGCATTGATAGCTTGTAGCTGATTATGCCTGAAATTCCTCAAACCAAATACTTGTGTGAAAACTTTCAGCAGCTCTCTACTGTGGGGAAAATTGTGGCCATCAAATTCTTTGTTAGCTTGCTGGTTGGTTGTGAGTTGATAAGATTGCTGTGTTCCTATAAAAATCATTATTAAGAAATATATTGATAATACTTATGGCATTTTAGATGAAAATAAAGAAAAGTATTTAACCTGTATTAACCTGTATTAATGACGCATTCTATCTGATTAAGGTGTAAAAATGAGGCATTCTTTCCTTTTACTGACAACTGAGTAGTGAAGAGTGTATAGAGAAATCCACAACTTGCATGAAATTGTCATGAAACATACATTCTTTAATATAAGGAAAAGATTTCTATATATATAATTATTTCATTACCTGATATTGCACCACTGTGGCTAGCAAATGCAACTGGATTACTTTTAGAAGCATCCATATGAGACAAAGACATATTGCTAGTTGATGGGACATGGGGACTGAAAATAGCACCACCATAATTGACTGAATTGACTGAGTTTTCGCTTTGATGATTTGTCCCCTGTGTGAATGAATAGGTGAAATCACCCTTTGCTAAGGAGTTCTGAACAGACTGGAAACTAGTTGTAGCACCAAAGCTGGATCTCTTTTCAGCCGTTTTCACAAAACTGGACTCCTCCTCAAAGAAACTCTCTCCACCAGGGGGTGCTGGTGAGGAGTTCTGTTTATTTGCACTGTATTGGTTATTATTGCTGTTATTGTGTGATACTATGGGAGACTGTGTCACAGGAGATCCTGCTGAGTGTACAGAATGAGTTGTCCCACTTGTACACAGTCTGCTGTGAAAAGCTGGGGTAGTAACTGGAGTGGAACAGGCCGCCTGAGCACTAGGCAGAACACAACTTGTTGTACTGCTCCTTTTCTTGAGGAGAATTCTACAAGAGAAAAAAATGAATCAATAAAATCTGTGACTGTTCTACTTTGAATTGCAAAGACATTTCAAATGCATGTGTCAATTATGAATTTGTGTAAAATAACATATTTAAGAACATTTCACGGAAAAAAAAATATTAATCAAACACATGACAAAGACTTTACAAAAAATTTGCATTATCATTTTTACAAAGATTGTCCAATACCTTTTCGCTAGCAAACGTTGCAATTTTGGAAAATCCATTCCTGGAAGACTACGTAGACTACTTTTGGGTAATAAACTGATCATTTGACATATTTCATCCATGACATTCATCAGCTCTGAGCCCTGAAATAAAAGGCAAAAATTATCAATTAAAGCAACAACAAAGGCTTTTATTAACTTTCGAATAGTAATTTTTGGAAAATGAAAAACAGATCCAAGAGGGCATCTTTTATGCATGCAGATAATCAGAAAAAAAGCCAAAGAGATATGCATAATCATTTAAAAATAATAATAATAATAATGTAAACACACCTCATATCCACCATTTTCAGCTTTAGGTTCTTCTGAAATTTTTCTGAAACAAAAAAATTGAATACCCTGCTTGAAAGCTGAGAAAAAATTTTTTTAAAAATCCTATAAGACATGCAACTAATGCAAAAAACAATTGGAAATCCAACAGAATCAAAATGAAAGATAATACCTATGAAAAGAGTATTCTGAATCATCCCTAGTATTACTGAACATTAACATAAAACATACCTAGTTGGATTTTCAATTCTGGCTGCAAAGTTTTCCATACTCTTTGTCACATCTGGTTTATCTTGATTTACGTCTTTCCAATCCTGCAACTAATATAAAATAATATTTTCTATGTGTTAACCATACACTGCAAATGTACTGTAAATGTTAAAATAAGAATCAATCCAAATAACATAAATAAAACATTGATTAAATAGGCTAATACTAAATTTTAAGTAACTACATTTTATTAATCTAGTTTGACTCTGATTAATTATAAAATATTTGACACCATTTCCAATTCATAATTTATTAAGTTAAATGTTAATCATTTGATTAAAACAATAAATGTGGCTTCAACCATATTTTAAATTAAAACCTACATCTGGTTCAAATAAAATATCACATTCATCACTAAAATACTGGTCTGGTATCTGGTCATAGTCATCGAAAAACTCTGTTCCATTATGCATCTGAAAATTAAAAGTATGGCAATTATTCATAAAATTTGAAGAAAATGAATTAATAATTTTCCCACATAAAAAGTTGTTTGTAAATACTTCATTTTGAAGTTTTGAAAAGTTTGTTGAATTTGTGTCAGAAAGTACATTTTGTCTGAACATGATAAATCTTTTAAAAAAAGTAAAATAATAGAAAAAGTGAGATTTGAAAATTACGTAATCATCTTACATAGAAAAAATTCCTGGAGGACAAGTTGGCTTATTTCAAACTGACCCTTTATTATCAAATCCAGCAAGTTAGAAGAATTGACTCAGGGCTTGACTAACTTTTTTTGATACTGGCCTGAGATATCATTGCAAGGATGATTTGACACATGACATTTTACTTGCTCTTTGGGCCAGTGACCCCAGTGATTCAATGGCCCTAGGTTGGTTTTCAGTGGCCCGGGGCCATTGGGCCACCCTTAATGTCAAGCCCTGTGACTCATGGAAGTTTCAGACACTAAAATTTGAATTACCTCATTTACAGATGTTCTTTCGCTGTTCTGTGTAGTAATTGTTTCAGTATTATGGACAGACACACTAGGTTTTTTATCAGGACATATCCAAGATCTTGGACTGGCTTCAAAGGCATCTTCGTCCTCATCATCAAGACATATAGGTCTAGCATGGAAATGAAATTGACTATACATTTACAGTGCTAAATTTAACCTCCTAATATTACATGCAATTAGATTGTTTTGTTGGTGATCCTAAGATATATTTTGAATATTGAAAAAGAGGGTATCTGCATTCATATATGAATTAATTGGTCAATGGATACCAACAAATAAAATCAAATCAGTGAGCCTATGTTCAATGCAGTTTGCGAATTATACGAAATCCCATTTGGATAGACCAAATAAACAAACATCACAAATATCATTTCCTTCTTCAAGCATTTTTGCTCTTATACAAAAAGAGTACATGTCTTATTACAGTTCATACCCCGGACTTAATGGCATAGGAACCACTGAAGCCACTGGTCTGATTTTTTCTTGACCAATTGAACTTTGGGTTGACCTCTTTTTTCCATCTGGAACTGACAGCTCATTCTCACTTTTTGATTTTGCAAACTGCAAAATGGAAGTCTGTCCTTGTTTGGCAGATGATAGATTCTGAAACAAAAGTTATGTAAAAATAAATTAAATTAAGCAAAGATTGGAAATTACAGGTTTTTAAGGAAAACAAATCATAATTAATTATTAATTAATTAAGTACTTGTAACTTTTTGAACATTTTAATCAACACTATAGCTATACTAGTAATCATCTATGAAAACCTTTTATTTTTGGTAATGATAAGTTTATAAATCAAAAACACTGGACTATTATAATAATCATTTATGAAAACCTTTTATTTTTAGTAACTGATGAGTATATAATTTTAAAAATCTCAATGATCTGTACAATTATAATTTTGGTTACCAACCTGTTTCCCCAATTTGAAAGGCTTTTCTGTTCTGAAAGGATTAGATACTGTGGCATTGCTTAACTTGGATGATGCTGGACCATTAAAGGTATTATTACCATGTGTCCATGCTTGGTGTCCTGCTTTGTTTCCAGATTGAATGTCACATTTTACAGGGAATGACTGATAGCTATTAGAACCATTAACATAGTCAGAGGAAGTGTCATACAAACTTCCATGCACATTTTTGTTAGTGCCAAGGGTCCCTGGATTTAACCGGGGCTCATTACTTTGTGAACTGAGGTCTGTCAGTACTGGCGGCTTCTTCTTCTTGAAAATAAACTTGGAGCTGGTGAAAAATCCAAAATGGGATTCTATCATATGACATGTTACAAAATTGTTTAAGCTAAAAAGAAAAATATTAATACCTAGAAAAGAGCAAGAATATATTACATTACTTTTCCAATAATGTCAAAATAACCCCTATATATTTAGTGTAAAAAATATTTTGATAAAATTTTATGAATTGTAAGTGTAAGTAATAAAAGCCTATAATATCTTTGATAAATGGAAGAAAAAGTAATGGAATTACAAACAGTTTTATTACCTTTTATTAACTGTCTTGTTGGTATTTGTACTTATGGATGTAGCAGAGACAGTCCCAAATTTCTTCAACTGCTCTGTAAGATTATTTTGTGGAATCTCCATCACCAACCATGCTCCAGATTCACAATGCTCCTAATGTAGCGATTTGGGGTGAGTGCAGAAAAATCACCAGCCAGACCAGGAATCGAACCCGGGACCCCTCGCTTACAGGGCGAGTGCTCTTTACCTACTGAGCTACCCGGCCGGTTCTACCTGCCCCTGGCACTACACTCCTCCCCCCCAAATGCCGAAAGACGCGAGCTCTATCTCGCAACACCGCTGCCACCATTGTAGCGATTTGGGGTGAGTGCAGAAAAACCACCAGCCAGACCAGGAATCGAACCCGGGACCCCTCGCTTACAGGGCGAGTGCTCTTAACCTACTGAGCTACCCGGCCGGTTCTACCTGCCCCTGGCACTACACTAAATTATATGTGGTATTTTATGTACGTAATAGTTTGCAAAACTATTTGGTCTATTATTTATCTATCAGTCGATGTGCACGCTGAACATCAAACTACTTTCTTCCGGTGGTGATAAGACTTAAATATGTATGGAATGTAGTAGGCGAAAACTAGCAATTAGAAATGCCATCTAAGGAGCAATGACCACATACAGTACACACAGACGGAAAGGAAAGGGATGTGATGAGTAATTTAAACTTAAGCAAAAACTTATTAACACGCATTCATCAACGTAAAAACGTATCCTTGGCTGTATTTACCTTCTCTATTTAATCCACTCACAAATCGCAATATCAACAATTGTCTATTTGATTCATCCGCTTGGCGCCTCTATGCAGATTCGGAAGCGTGAGAAAATTCAAAATATTATAAAAACTATAACATTAATAAATATTAGCAGTTGTTCTTATATATCCTTTTCCAATCCTTTCCTTTCTGTTTAAATAAATATGTATGCGAAACAGTCCTGTACACTGTTTGAGATATCGAAATTTTAAGTAAAAATGTTTTAGGAAGAATGCTCTTGCGGCAGTTTCGTATTATCGTAATAAGATAATGTTATCGTTAACTGCAATCGCACAGCGAAAAATTGAAATCTGTGACAAAAAAGGTTTTATGCATTCAACAAAAAGTTTCAAATAACAAAATAATCTGATAACTATACACTAAAAATTTGAAAACACTTGAGTTATAGAATACGCTTAGTGTCGCAAATTGAGTACCGACTTACGATCTCTTCACGCCATATTTGCTTGAGATCGGGTAGGGAAATTTAAACGTCTTTATAAATCCTCAATCATCGCCTTACAGGAAAACCATTTTCAATTTTTGAAAAGGCTGACGAAAATAATTAACATTTTCCCCTTTTGTCAAATTAGTCATTGGCTTCTGAATTATCAATGTCCAGAGTAAAAAGATGTTAAACACATACTGCGCCTACTTAGGATAAGCATACCCGTTTTCATTAACGTTTCTACAGCATTTGGTGTTTCGAATATCAATGTAGATGTCATGCATGAATGTTGCTACATTTTAAGAAGTAAAAAACCAATCAAAATGAAAACGGCGACATTAATATTCCAGGCTCCCAATACCACAACTAGTTCTTAACCAGTGTGAGGTTCCTTTATAAATCTTCTTGCAGTTTGAGAATTGTGATAAATCCATTTAACATGTGATTGTAATGAATATAGAAGACTGCTTTATTTTTCTTTGTGCATTTTTCTATTACAGCAAAATGGCAATTCGATATGAGATGGCAGTGGGCCTTAATAAAGGCCACAAAGTCACCAAAAATGTGATGAAACCCAGACCTTCGAGGAGAATTGGGGTAAGTAATGGTGTTGTGTAAATCTCTATCTTAGGTGTATTCATTTTGATGGGTTTTGAAATGCACATCTGAACCCAGACCAAAATTGAGTTAAGTATTAGGTTCATATCATTGCGAGAATTCTTAAAATACTGAAGCAGTTACAGTACCACTGACCTACACATGTGGCTGGTATATCAAGATTCTTCACGTCACTACATCAAACATACAAACTTGTCATTATATTTATACCATGTGATACATTTGTTGAGGTAATCGGCCTCTAGCATATTTTGTATTCACTTTTGTGCTTGAATCTAAATGATACAAGTAAAATGAAAGTGAACATTACTTCAATTGCCAACTTGCCCCTGTTTCTAAATATCAGTTATTTTATTGCAGGTTCTGAACAAGCACATCAAGTTCATCAGAGACATTGTGCGCGAGGTGTCGGGATTTGCTCCATATGAAAGAAGGTGCATGGAATTGTTGAAGGTGTCCAAGGATAAGAGAGCTCTAAAGCTGGCAAAGAAAAGGGTACGTAGAGATGTTTAAGGGGGAACAGTGCAATGATCTAGTTGCTAAGTTGAATGTGGGGTAATTAGTACTTCTTTCCTCCCCCCTGTACTTTCTCTAAATGGGTTGTGGCATATTGTTACCTCAAATATTCTAATTTTGTATTATTTTAATGTTCCATTTCTGTGATTCAGTAGAAAAGCTTCAATAAAGTCCAGTTGTGAAATTTCTTTTAAATATTTTGAAAAGATTTATGCTCAGTATGTTTACTGTGTAACTTAGTGTTACATTTTCTTTTTTAGCTGGGCTCCCACAAACGTGCAAAGAGGAAGAGAGAAGAAATGCAAAAGATTATCCAGGCACAGAGAAAGGCTGCTCACAAGTAGACCAACAAATCATGAACTGTCATATTCTGAGTCTTTTCTGTACACTTTTGAATTAAACTGGATTAAAATAACTGGATGTACATACTGAAAAAGTCTTGTTTTTCTATTTTTAAGTATCTGGAATCAAAAGGATATTTTTATACTCTTAAATACATGTAGTCTAACTGAAAAGTAATGGTGTTGACATAACAAACTACTTTGATTTCAAGATTGGGCAAACTCGAAGCTTGCTTAAGTAGAGCATTTTTTTTTGTCCAACCAGGTATAACCAAAAGTTCAACATGTTGAGAACCCATATTGTCGTGGTGAAGCAAGCATAAACAAATGCACGCGAAAAAAAATATGCAATGGTTGTAGAAAGATAAACTCAAGTTATGCACTCCAAAATATAATTGTAGATGTGCTTTTCCCTCTGCACATAACTTGCAAAGCACACCCATATTTCAGACATCTTTAATCCACTAAATGTTTTGATTATCAGTCGTTCATTATTATAGAGCCCAACTGCTCTATGCATAAATTAATATTGAAATTGAACTGTCTAGTTGGGCACATCAAAAAAGAAATAGAAATTCTTAACAATTGTGGCAGTTTGTCACTTGCACATAACCATATATTGCATGTAGTCATTTATTAATACAGACCACAGCATAACATAACATCAAGTACATAAATATAAGACTCCAATACTGTTACAGTAGCAATGATGGTACTTTAGTAGATTTTATATAAATCAGAAAAATACTACTCAGATAATGACACAAGAGACTTAAAATTTTTAAGTCGCAGAAAAAAACATTAGATATAACACAACTCCATAAAATTTGTGCCAGTACAAATGTAACCCAAGAATGTGAACACCATTTGTTTTCTGTTTACAGACAATATACCACTCTCAAACTTTGAAAGACAAGAAAAGTTAGCAAATCTACTGCTACAAACAACATGACAATTTTTATACTGGCTAAGGTCTTATCATCATTCATAGAAGTGCTCCAGACGTGCTCTGTTCTGCTGAAGACACTTGAATTCTTTGGGCAAAGTTGTCAATGGCCTTGATGCAATCTTTTTGTATAGGTCCAATTTCCAGAGTGATTGCTGTTCTGGGATGGCGTGGGGGTTTGTGTACACCCATTCCTTCAAACACCCCCACAAATAAAAATCTGGGGGGTTAAGGTGGAGAGAATGAGGAGACCACTTAAGTGACAATAATTTTTGCCACTAGAATTAGTGACATTGTTTGTACCAGATATTTTGCTAACTTCTCTAGCTTTCATTAAAATATATGGGTTGTATATAATTTTTTTAAAACATAAAAATAAATGGTGTTCACATTCTTGGGTTACATTTTTACTGGGACATCCAGTACATATATACAATTATTTATAAAATACACAAAATAAAACAGTTATTGCAATTGTATAAAATACACAAAATAAAACAGTTATTACAACTGAATGCTGTTAAAAGGATTGATATTTTTTTCACCACAAATGATGTCAACATAGCTTAAAATCTGTCAGCAGCACATGAGACAATCATGTTAATGAATTTGCTTTAAAAAATTCTAAATGAAAACAAAGTGTTTCATTAGTTATTGTCAGACAGTATAAAACAATAGAGCTTTTTCATTAATGTGAAAGCAAATAAAATACATAAAAAATGCTTTTAATACAAAAAAATTTCTAGTCATAAAATATTTCAGCAAAGAGCCACATGTGTTCCAGTTTCCTAAAACAGAAACTAAACAAAGAACAGCATAAAAACTTTCTAACATCTCCCACACACGAGTTTTCTTTTGCCATTTCCAGCATAGGTATTTGGATAGTTGGGGCAGGTTTCCAGTTTCCACAGAACACGGAGTGATACCTGAATTAAACTTTGCATCAAAAGGACCAAACTAAAAAATGCTTTAAAGATGAATTTGTGAAAATAAAGCAAACTTTTTAAAAGTGCTGTCTTTGATTGTTAATTCTATGAAATTTGACTGCATTGCTGAGATATACACAAAAAACTTGAACAAATACTTAACTTGTGCTCACATATAGGTACTAGTATAAAATTATTACATACGTAATACACCTCTTACACACAAAAGAAAATTAAAAATTACATATGTACTAAGTACTCACTATAACTGTTACTATTTGTATCTTTATAAAAATCTCTTTTATACAACAAACATTACATTAAAATGCAGGGGGGGAAATGCTGTTAACAACGATCTCCTCTATACACGACAATATTTTTTTCTGTTTCATGAATTTTGATTTCATGGAGTAGTCCAGGGGATGGCAATAACAAACTAAGTTGATCCCAAATGTACACTGCCAAATTTTCAGTGGTGCTAAAAAAATAATACAAAATTATAACACATCATTTATTAGGAGTGCATTTTTCAATTAATTAAAATATCAAATCCAAATATATAACACATAAACTAGCAAATGTTCTTAAAAGTGCCTAATTGTGAATTTGTAATCTTTAAGGCTTATTCTGGAAATTGGTAAATAAATAGAAAAAGTCCAACCTACCTTACCACATCCTTAAAGAAAGGGACATCTTTATCAAGATTCTTATGGTCTAGATTATTCATAATGGCAAGCTGTAAAAAAAAAAAAAAAACAATAAAATAATATATGACAGCACATTACAGGATGAATAAGAAAATCCGCTCTTGTTCTGAAAATTATGTCAAGTTACATGGCCATACTCAGCACAGTAGCCTGGGTATTGGTTTGATTCTTACTGTGTCTGTAATCAAAAGTACGTCCAACCCTCATGACATGCCTTCAAGATTAAAAAAAGATGCAGTCACCCGGGACAACCAAGGGAATACTTCAAATAACAGAGAGCACCACTGCGTTCATCTTTTTTTATTTAAACAACTGAGCACAACAATACAACATTCTTTCTTGGTATGAGTGGTATGAATGCTTTAAAGCTCAAGCTGTCAGGTCTGATGCTATAGCTTACCTGCATATACTTTTTTAAATCCGTTAAATTCATAACCATGCCAGTGACAGGGTCTACCTGAAAAAAATTGCTTATATAAAGTTATTCAATGCAATATTTTTGATATTTTACATTGAATTCCTAAAATCAAATAGCACATTCTAAAAGATTTCTGATAATGATTTTATATCATGCTAGCTATCAAAACAAAATTGTTCTAAAAAGTTGAACATTTTCCCAATCTTAAATTTGCATGCCTTTGAGGGGTTGCATAAGGTTATACTGCAGTGCTGTGTAACTAGCCTGAACCCATTTATTTTATTCACAGAAGGACAATAAAATTGCTTGAGCAACGTAGTATAGTCTATCACTTGGGTGCATGACTAGAATTATAGTGCTAGTCATGTGTCTGCATGAATGCCCTGGCAGAATTTTTTTCATTTTTCTTATTCAACCTCAAATCCTATTTACATGTTGCAAGGTAATTGTTTCCACAAATTTGATCAACCCTGAAATTGTGTTCCCACAGTTTTTCTCACATATGTTGTTGATATAAATATACCGAGTAACCTTGTGCTTAATATTGATAACAACAGTCACTGCATGCTTTTTGATAAAGAAAAAAATGTCATATGCATCAGATGGATCATTTAGTATTTTTTTTGTGAAATTTTACAGGGGAAAATCCATTTGTTTGATATATATATATATATATATATATATATATATATATATATATATATATATATATATATATATATATATATATATATATAGACTTGACATTTAATATGGAATATTTTTTTCCAAATCATTTTTCATCAGTTTTTTTCCTATTTTGCTGACTGATAAATGAAAATAATGCTTAAAATTGGGTTTTAATAACTTTTAATTATCCTTTTGATGTCATTGTGTCTTCAGTTAATTAATGGAATTCGCCAGAGAAGCAAACAAAAACACATTGCCTATTCTATGTCATACGACAACAATTAAAAGTGATATTTTGGATCTCCATATTTTCCAAATTATTTTCTGTAAAANCAGACTTGACATTTAATATGGAATATTTTTTTCCAAATCATTTTTCATCAGTTTTTTCCTATTTTGCTGACTGATAAATGAAAATAAGGATTAAAATTGTGTTTTAACAACTTTTAATTATCTCTTTGATGTCATTGTGACATCAGTTCGTTAATGGAATTCACCAGAGAAGCAAACAAAAACACATTGCCTATTCTATGTCATACGACAACAATTAAAAGAGATATTTTGGATCTCCATATTTTCCAAATTATTTTCTGTAAAAGAGTAACAAGCCTCAAAAAGAACCCCCATGTCAGTGTCTAGTCACAGTAACGGTCGCTGTTACGCTTGACCTCTTCTGTTTGCTACCAGTGCTCTCAAGTGGCAAGGCATTCCTGGGGTTAGGTTTTTAGAGTTCAATCTGGAATAACATTCCAGGCATCGGTCAAAATCTGTCAGATTTGGTCCAGTTTTGTTGTAGGACATGTAGGCCATTGATTCGGCGAGTAATGGCCTACCCACATATTGTCTATGTGGTTGAAATATGGCGATTTTGATTACCAAGGTAGCTGCTCATTCCCTTGGTTCTGTAAGTAATCTGCTATTAAAAGTGCTATGTGTGTACCGGGAATTTCACCGTGCAACCTAAAATTGTTCCTAAAGTGCCCCCTAGCAAATGATAGTCAGGTGCTTCTCAGATTATTCCTTTATTTGATCTGGTTTAGGTTTTCGTGGATGACCATCATTGCTGTTTTGGCACCAATGTGGTAGCCACTTCAATTACTGACGCTGTTAATGACCTTAGTCACTTAAGACGCGGCACACGCTTAGTCGTTGGCCTCTTCTGGATATCTGTAAACTCTGTTTTGACTGGTTGAGCGGTACAGGTGAAAGCTGACCTCAATAAAGAAAGTCACGAGGTTTCAGTGTTCAACTCAGAAACGATCAGGGTCCCCAATTCATGAGAGAAACATATAACGATGTTTTGCTGTTTACAGTGGGTTCCCCTGAGGTCGTCTGTATTTTAACCAGCTAAAACCAGTTTGGTGTTCGCTAAGGGCCTTGAAAAATGCGTTTTGGTGGCAATATACCCCTCATTCTGAACGGACTGGGTGGTTTTTGTTTAGTTGCAATAGTATATCCCGACAGACAGTGGGTCCTGTACCCTGGTGGTAAGATTTCAATACATTGGTTGTGACCTCTGTGTAGGTGCATCAGTCTGGGCATTATTCTATAAAACTGTGCGGACCGTTTCGTTTGGCGCAATTATCTGTCTGGCAATGTCTGACTTTTCGCGCCATTCTGCCACAGATTAACAAATATGCAGAGCACTGCATAGCTCATTTTACACCTTGCAAAACCGACCACTTGCATGCAAAATTTCAAATTCTTCTATGCAGTAGTTGCCAATATATGGATACTTTTTTGACAGAACCATGCTTTTCCAAAGCCAAGCTTTGACCTGCCCAAAGGAGCACTACCCAATTAAATCAGTGCATATTACATAATGCAGCAACGCAACAAACCTGGTATTCACTTAATTGGAAGCGACACACCTGACTACATACTTCTCCATTCACATATCTTATATGAGATAGGAGTTTTTTGAAAAAAGAATGCATTTTTACCTAAGCATACCTTCGAAACTGAAATATTCCATATTAAATGTCAAGTCTGTAGAATAAACTCGTCCACTTGCGCTGGTCACCTCCCGCCAAATTCTTATGTAATGTCTGACCAATTTGATCAATTTTTGCTAAATACTTGTCGTGGACGTTCAGCTGGCTTGAAAAATATTCAATCAACCGTCGACGCTGACCATGCGCGTCTCAGCTGAGTCACACCTAGCTGGGACTGCTGCGGAAAAAAGGTCCCAAGGCAAAACCTCTACTTTTTAGTGACATTTCTGATAAACAAGGAGCGTCGGACCAGAATATAGTCAAACTGGTTTTTAACAGGTGGGAAGGAGAAAGAAATTTACTCTTTGGTGATATTTCTGACAAGTAGGCACTTTCGGAATATAGTCAAAGTCAGACGGATGTTTATTACAAGTTCAGGGGAGTAATAATTCCAGTTTTATTGTTATTTCTGACGACGAGGCGGTAACGGAATATAGTCAAAATGAAACGGAGGTTTATTTCAAGTCCACAGGAGTAAAAATTATACGTTTTCGTGACATCTTTTACTACGAGGCGGTTTCGGAATATACGTGTGCTGGTTTTCAGAGCATTAATGTGCTGCATGTAATTACAAGTTCAAAGGGGGAATAAATTTGATTTTTAGCGGTATGTCTGGTAAATCACACAACCCTCGTTAAAAAGTTATAGATTTGCAAATAATTTGTATGCACGCGTGGTTTAAATGTAAACTAATTCTCGTTTTCAAAACATACCCATATGATATGACTTAGTGTAATAAAATCATAAAGAATAATTGTTAAACGTGAAAAGTTTATGTTAATTTTTTAAGAGTGTGAGAGATTTTTAATTTGTCAACTGGTAGATATATAACGCAAGTAAAGTCAGTTGTGACGATGTAGTGTGTTGGTTGAGATTGTTTTATATTGCTACCGGTGGATGTGTCTATAAGTAAAGTACAGTCCGGTGCGCACGTTTGAATCTCTCCTTTGATTGGTAATTTAAAGGTAAAACTGTTCACTTTGTAATTGGTTCTGATTGGTAAACGTGTACTATCTGAACATGTATATGGAGTAAATGGATCAAGGCTTATGTTCATGAGATACATAAAGAGTTCAGTACTGTCTTAGAAATAGGGTGATAATTAACAAATTTATTAATTAAATTGTTTAATTGTTTTGTTTTTTTTGTAATAAAAACATGTTAATTTAAGTTAGTTTATTGCAGATAGATGCTGAAGCTCTTGGGAAGAATGCAGAAACTGTGTTCAGAGACAAAGGAGGGAAGAGAAGAAACTTAAAAGAAGAAAAACTGAAGCAGAGGGCAGAAGATGCCAAAAAGGAAGAGATGAATGAAAAGTATATGGTTTGGGGGAAAGGGTAGGTAAAAGATTTTGAAATATGGGTATCCACACTTGAGCTTCTTTTCTACTAAATTAAAGCTGTGGGTAGGGTGTATAAGTATTTGTTTGCTTGGAAATAACTATTGTGTCATCTGTCCTAATTCTGTTGCAGAATGGCACAAAAAGCACAACAGGAACAGACGCTGCAGGAAACACTACATGAAATGGACAAGCCCCTCGCAAGATTCAAAGATGACGAGGTTTTGGACGCCATGTTGAAGGAGCGAGAGCGGGCAGAGGACCCCATGCTGGCATATATGCAGAAGAAGAAAGCTAAGGAAAACAAAGGAGGGTCAAAGGCCAAAGGTGAAGGGTCATTATTAATGATACAATAAATCTAATAATATGTCAGTTTTATCTCAGGGCTGAAGGTATTATTCTGCTGTGTCTGATTCAATAGAAATGGGATTGCACGCACTTAAGTGTGCCTGCACGCACACACAAACACATTTTGGGTTTTCAAGACAACTTCAGTCAGCTTTTGATTTAAAGTCATTCAGAAAAGGAAGCTGGAATAAAAATTGCACAATCATCTTTGTTTTCTCTGCTTTTAGCCCAACCAAGCGCCATTGCTTCCATGTCTCACCTAACACATTTATGATTACTTTTCAGCCAAACCAAGGTACCGTGGCCCAGAGCCTCCCCCTAACCGCTTTAACATTTGGCCCGGGTACAGGTGGGACGGGGTCGACAGATCCAACGGATTTGAGAAGGAATTCTTCGCCAAGATGGCCAACAAGAAAGCTGTAGCAGATATGGCATATAAATGGAGTGTGGAAGATATGTGAACACTGTTTTGTTCCACCGAGTCTCGGATATGTTTATAGGCTAAATGTAGGAGTGATATTTAGAAGGTCAGGCTCTTAATCTAAGGGAGAGAAAAGATGGGACGAACCATC